AGAGCAAGAGATAGATCAAAATAAGGAAGAAGAACCTTAACGTGCTAGAACCTCAAAATCTTTTGATCCAGATTTTCTAACAATTTTGTTAGAAAATGAGCCTTTAACTTTTAATAAAGCTATGTCCAGTCCTGAGGCTCCTTTATGGAAATAAGTTGTAAATAATGAATTTGAATCCATCTTGCAAAATCACACATGGGAATTGGTGGATTTGCCACCTGGTTGTGAACATCTTGGGTACAAGTGGATTTTCAAGAGAAAAATAAAAGCGGATGGATCAATTAACAAATACAAAGCAAGACTTGTGGATCTAAAAATTCATCAAATGAATGTGAAAACCGCTTTCTTAAATCGTGATTTAAATGAAGAAATTTACATAGAACAATCAAAATGATTTTCTGTTCCAAGAAACGAAAAAAAAATGTATAAATTGGTTAAATCATTACTCCTTCTGTCCCAAAATAATGGCCCATTTTGGGGAATCCAACTTTTTTTGGTAGTACAATTATTGCACTTTAAAAAAATTAATTTTTCAAAATTACCCTTCAATAATACATTTTTGGGAAATATCAATGTCATAATTGTACTTTTATGTTGATAATGAATTTAAAACAAGGGCAAAAAAGAAAATTTATATTATTTTTGTACTTGATTTTTTAAAAGAGACTAATATTTTTGGACAATGAAAAATAAAATAAGGGACTAATATTTTGGGACGAAGGGAGTATATGGTTTAAAAGAAGCGTTAAAGCAATGGTATGAAAAATTTGACAAGGCAATAATGTCAAATGAATTTAAAATTAATGAATATGACAAATGTGTTTATATTAAAAGCACAAACAAAGGTTATGTGATAGTATGTCTTCATGCGGATGATATACTCATCATAGGTATGAAAACTACTAAGAAAATGTTAAATAAACATTTTGATATGAAAGACATGGGGATTGCTGATGTAATACTTGGTATGAAAATTACTAAAATATTACAAGGTTATGCTTTGTCACAATCACATTACATTGAGAAAATACTTAACAGATTCAGCAAAGATGATAATCATCTTGCTAGAATACCTGTGGATATTAATTTATTTCTTTCTAAAAATGTACAAAAAAATATTTCTCAATAGAATATACCTAAATTATTGGAAACTTAATGTACTTGATAAACTGCACTTACCCAGATATAACTTATGCAGTAAATAAATTAAGTAGATATACGAGTAATCCAGGAGTAAAACACTAGAAAGCAATTATAAGGGTTCTAATATATTTTCAATTTACTCGTAACATTGGGCTCAATTATATGAGATATCCAGCAATACTTGAAGGATACTGTGATGCAAACTGGATATCGAGATTCAAAATCCACCAGTGGGTATGTCTTTACTCTTGGTAGGGCAGATGTATTTTTGAAATCTTCCAAACAGACTTGCATTGCTAGGTCTATTATGGAATCAAAATTTATAGCTTTAGATAAAGCTGGAAAAGAAGCAAATGGCTTCGACATTTCCTTGAAGATATTCCAATGTGGTCAAAATCGGTGCCTGTTATATGCATACATCGCGATAGTCAATCAGCAAGAAATAGAGCACAGAGTCATATGTATAACGATAAGTCACGACACATTCGTCTTCGACATAACACCGTGTGACAACTACTCTCTAATGGAATTATTTCCATTGAAAATGTGAAGTCTAAAGACAACATAGCGGATCCACTAACCAAAGGGTTAGTAAGAAAGTTAGTTGAGAATTCATCGAGGGGAATGAGACTTAAACCTATTAAATAAGAGTTACCACAACGGCAACCCAACCTAGTTGAGTGGAGATCCCAAGATCTAGGTTCAAATGGGCAACCGAGTTATGTATGACTCATAAGGATCACTGGAGAGTCAAACTCCTATCCATTTCTATGATGAAATAGTGATGTTTGCAGCATTTTGGGTTAAGTAATACTTTTAATGATTCTTATATCTAGGAATACCTAATGGAGTATGGCATGATACTCTTCATAAGAATCACCTATATGAGTGTGAACTAGGCTGGTTCTATGAGATTTGTGAAGGACTACAATTATCTAGAACACTCATGAAAGACCAGGTTGTTCAAGGCCAAAATGAACACAATAGTGAGAACTAAATTGTGCCTGGTAATATACTATGTGAGTTTTATTGTTTTGGTTTACACAAATGGCTAAACAGTTCAAAACATCATATTCACTGGTTAGTTAGTAAATCCGATAGTTTCTCACAAGGAAAGGTTCAAAACCAAAAGCTATCTATCATTTGCAGAATATTTTCAATTTATGTACTCTCTATAATTAGATCATATTGTTGCATTTTCTCTCCGTCAAATTCCATTCATGTGGGGGATTATTGGAATTATGGTTTTTATACACTTATTTTGGACTAACTTTGAGTGGGTCCCACACGTATTTTGGGATGGGTCCAAAGAGGTGACGTCTTTCTTGCCACGTGGCGAATCACATGGTGCAAATGGTTCGTCAAAACCATTTATGAGTGAATGAGAAGTTGATATTGTTTTCGGGTTCGTGGAATGAACAATTAAAGAAGTAAAATGTAGGTTTCCTTGAAATGGATTGTCCTACATTGAACTTGAAGAGAGCTTTATGTGAGTATATAAGCTCTAGGTGGATAAACTTGGATTGGGCCCCAAGGGGCACCTCAAGTTTGTAGAAGCGAGGAATTATGGACAAAGTGAGCCTTAGCTCAAACCACCATACGCGCTCACCACCACCTCCGCTACTGTCCGATTGACCGGGCGCTAGTGTGGGTCGAGTCAGTCATACTATTAATTTTTTGGACAAAATTTATTTAAATTTTTTCCAAAAATTCTTGCAGAAAAAAATTGAATTTTTCACCAATTTGAATTCAAATTTTTTTGCTCCTAACCAGTGTGTCTTTTCTAAACTAATCCAAATAGATTCAAACAGTTTGTTCAACCTATTTTGCACCAGTCAGATTTAGTTCTTCCCAGACAGATTCAAAACTGCCCAGCAGTTTCCCACAGATCAAACTGGTTTCAAACAGATTTTTGCGCCTGTTCAGTTTGAATTTGCACCTGTTCGGATCTGTCCAACAATCACCAGTTTGTCTATAAATTCAGATTCATTCCAGCAGATTTGGAGATCAATAAAATTAATTTCTTATCCCGATTTTGCTCTTTCTTTGAATTATTCTTCATACTAGTTTTTTTAGAGAAAATTTTGAGAATATAAAACACAGGTTCTAGTTCGCCGTACAAATTGTTTGGAGTGCTACTACAATCTGTGCAGATCATTGTAGCCTGAGAGATAGACACCATTTATCCGTAAGTACCGAAACGGGGCGAATCTGTCTTAAGGATAGAATGTTACACACTCGACTTGATCAATTTTGTACTTATTCGTTTTGGTAAATAAATTCTGTAAGTAATTTATTTTTATTTATTTGATTTGGTTTCAAATTATTTATTTTACACAAAAGATTGTTCCAACAGTTTGAGAGTAAAGGAGATGGAATTTGGAGGTTAGATCCCTTCATTTTAAATTGAGACAGTCATTTTTTATACATTTAAGTTAAATTGTGATATCACTTTTTTGTTCATTTGATATTAATCAACTTGTTTGGTTTCAAGACTCATGATTCACTTTTCAGAAAATTGAATTTTTTTATTTTTCGTATTTTAATTTTTTGTTTTTAGTGAATTTTTTCACATTTTAAGCAATTTTTTTTTTAAATTTTTAGATACACCTAACATATATACAATTAAAAAGTATAATATTTGTGAAAAAATCTTTTAAAAAATACTAAAAACCAAAAATACAAAAAAAAAATGAGAATTCAGTATATTTTCATATTCTTTTGTATTTATTAATTTTTAAAAATATTTGTTTACAAATATTTTACTTTTTATGTAAAAAAAAAAATTTGCTTAAAATTTTAAAAATATTCACTTGAAACAAAAAAAAAATACAAAAAATAAAAAATTTAATTTTTTAAAAATTGAATTTAGAAAATTAAAACCAAACTTAACGAATAAGGTTGGCAAAATCTACGAATATTTTAAACCAAGTTATGATATTACCTCTTTATTCAATTGGTGCTAATGAAGTTGATAAAATTTTGATATGTATACCATATATAATATTTTGCTAAAGGTGTAACTAACAAAAGTGGAATTGAAGTAAAACTTTAGTTGGAGTGTATAGAACTAACGTGAGATTTTATTAAATGTATAAAGAATGTCAACAAGGCAAGAATAATTTCACTTATGACTCACTCGTAAATTTCCATTAATCTCATTGACATCATATAAATGAATGGTGATATTATAACTTGTCTTAAAATGTAAAAAAATTAACTATTACAATTAGGGCCAAATGAGATTCTGTTTTTAACACACACAAAAAAAAAAAAACAAGAAGAAAAATTGGAAACTAATTATCTTTCATCAATTTAAAAAGAAAAGACATGTCAAAAATATTGCATGTTTGCCAAGAAAATGGATGATATTACCTTTCATTTATAGTTTTCAGAATTTTGTAAGTGAGTTGCTATATCTATTGTACATTATATTGAATACATGGTTCGAAAAAATGTCAAGAAAAAAAAACAAAACGTTTCCCCTTTATATTTAAGACCCAGGTTTGCAGTACCCTGGATCTCAACTCTGGCCTGGCATTTTGAAACTCAACCCATTTTGTTTTTTGTTTTTTGTTTTTTGTTTTTTTATTGACAACAAGAGAAGTATTATTAGAAAATAAGAAAAATACAAGAGAGGAAGTAGAACTGAATCAGATAATCAACAGTTAGCTATTGTGCATGCATAAAATTGGAATCAGATGACCAATCTTCAACTAAGCAGGCAAGCAACACTAGTTCTGCAATGCATAACCATTGTTACTCTCTTCACCATTCCCCGCAAGGCGAACTACTGACAGGCATGAAGAAAAACCCAGAAAATTACAAGTGCAACCAACAGTTAGAAAAACGTCACATGAGGAAGCTACTGTTCAAATAATTTTTATTTGATGATTCGAGTCATGACAACTACACAAATACCAGCCCTTTACAACGGGCACAGCAATTGGTAACTCTTTTTAAGCGACAATATTATACAAAAGGCAAATCCTCAACTTGAACCTCTTTTTTCCTAAGACTACACACAAGCTTTGTGTTTAGTCAAGCAGTGGAGTCCAGAGAATCATAGCCATAAGGGTTCTTGCTGGCCCAGTTCCACTGATCACGGCACATCTCTTCAACGCCATATTTTGCCCTGCAAAGACACCTTATCAGAAAATATGCAAATGGAGTATGAATGAAGGAAGTTTTGGTTTATTTTACTATTACTGTTTTTATAGTTTCGTCGAAGGTTTTGCTAAAACATTATTTTCCAGTCAATATTGAAGAATAATCTTACGAGCACAAGATCCAATATTGTCATATTTTATCCAATCTTTATATTTGGGAGTATCATACATAGTTCAAATTCAAAGGGCTGTCATTCTAACATTAACTATGTTGAACTCTGACAAAGAATTAGAATTTCACTACAAGCACTCTCAAAACCCAAGTGAAATGTTCCCTAAAGAGAACCTCATGAATTATGCATATGAGAAGCACAATTAAAAAATAACTATCAACACTTACTTCCAGTTCAACTCATGTGCTGCTTTCTCTGTCGATGCATACACAATCTCAGCATCACCAGGTCGTCGCCCAGCATACACCAGAGGAATTTTCTGGAAAAAAGAAAAAATAAATAAAATAAAAAAATCATGGCTCTTGTCCACATAAATGACAATAATGAGAAAAGTGCTTGTTTATGATGTCCATAGCAACCTTTTGTTTATTGTCTTTTCCCTTTTTTCCCATTAAGGCCCAATTTCAGGAGAGTAGCAACACCTTGGACTCAGGTTAACAGTTGAGATATGCATTAGAAAGGTTTAAAAAGCATCAGAAGTGGACTAGCCTCTTCCAAAATGATTATCACAGATTCAAAAAGGCATTCACATATCAAATTGTTGGATTCTGAACCAAAACCTTTAGCTTTTAGTAACTTCGGTCTAGTTCTCAAAAGGCTTCACATCTCCTGAAACCCTCTTACGCATTGGGATATTGAAATAAAATCCCCAGCACCTAAGACTTTGCAGAGCTCAATTCAAGAAGCAAATTGGAGGAACTCCATTTCTATCTCCAAACACGCACTTACATACTCATGGACAAGAAAAGCAATAAAAATAAATAAAAAAATAAAATAGAAACTTTGATGTGAAAACATACAAGTACAAGTTGGACTGGGAATAAGAAAAAGTAGAAAACTCACCAAATGAACAGGAGAACCAGAATATAGGTTGTCCAAAACACAGAGTTCCAGCAACAAGAAGTTCCATTTCTATGATTTGACTAGGTACGAGAATTTAACATACAAGGTTCAAAAGTTTTGTACCTTTCCAGATGCCTTCTCAAATGCTGCTACCATTTCCAAAACTGACGTTCCTTTTCCAGTTCCTAGATTGTACACTTCACAACCTGCAATGACAAAAATAATGATTACTAATCTCATCATTCAAGAATGTAGTTGCCAGATTTTACGTTCATATAATACTAAAAAATTTCTTGACTAGACATTATACAAACATGCACACACACACACAGACACGTTATTCAGACAGATAAAAGTTTTACGAGGTTTCCCAGGCCCCAAATATCTTACAAAGTGCCACACTTTGCCAACAACTTCTTAAAAGAAATTTTGAATACAATTCCCTATGTACCGACTTGTTCATACAATTTTTTTCCTTGATTGTTTAAAAACCATATAAATTTTTCTTCTTGTTATTGAAGATCAAATAAGATGTGATATTTTGGAAAGTGTAATTCTGCTACGGAAAATAATTAAAATTGAACTCTTTGCACCAAACAACAATAGATCAATAGCAAACACACAAAATGATTGTGCGCCACAAATAGTTGGGAGAAGTAAACATTTCAAGCAAAAAATGAAGAATAAGTGGTGTTCTCAATATTTTACTGCATTCCCACTGCTTGTCACCTAGCGTGCATAAGCTGTACTCCAGTAATTTGTAACAGTTTCTTCAATTCCTCCTCTTCATGTGTCTACAAAAGTTGAACAGTTTCTAACAAGTACCACAGATTTTCACTCCATCAAAAAAGTTGAAAATTTTATGTGATGCGCTTATCCTTTCAAGTTTCAACAATCAAGTGTTCTGCATTCAAAATGACAGCATAACTACAACTGTTAACACAACTGGCTCTTTCAGGCACCTACTATCTGATATTTATTCTATATATAGACTAGTGAAAAAAAAAAAAAAACTTCGTATATTGAAACAGACACTAGAACCCAAGAGAAGACGACAATCTCAGAGCACAGACCTATTGAAGGATCAGATAACTTGTTCAGTGCAGCAATATGTCCATCGGCTAAATCCACAACATGAATGTAGTCACGTACCTGAACAGTGGTACAAAATAAGCATCATTAGAGTACAACCTTGATTAGACGAAGAAAACCTAAAAAGAGAATACAATACCCAAACCAATCGGATCCAAAAATTTGCATTGATGCAAGAGGATCAATATACATTACACACTAAGAGCTAAAATTCATATGAAACCTTCATGAAACTACATGAAGTTTTCATATTTTTTAAATTACCAAAGAATAAATCACAAACAAGGAATATAGTACTATTTCAAATGCATTTCACACCATGCAACTAACTAAATCAGCCTTTGCAATGATATGGTGAACCCAAGTTGTGGGGCTGGCTTAAAGAGTCAGTGCCCAGCACATGTGCAAACTTTAGCCAAATTGTAATAAAACATTAACATTGGGAAAGTGTAGAACCAAGCTCATTTTTCACATCAAATATTACATTTACAAATTAATTTTTATTCTCAGCCCAGGGTATTTGGGGAATGAAGGATACAAATGACATTTTTTTGTACATAATGAAAATTATTCATTATAAATAGAAAAAGGTCAAGTATACTTGCTCATAGAATTTGAAATCCTAGTCTAAAACAAACAAAATAACAAGTTAAAACAAAGATAAAGCTGAGAGTGAAGAATGCATACCCCTGTACCATCCTTTGTTGAGTAGTCGGTTCCAAATACAGTAAGTGCAGGTCGCCTTCCAACAGCTACTTGTTGAACGAAAGGCATGAGATTGTTTGGAATACCACGAGGATCCTCACCGATACAGCCACTAGAATGTGCACCAACAGGGTTGAAGTATCTCAGCAATATGATTTTCCATTCGGAATCCGACCGGTGGACATCACGGCATATTTCTTCAATGAAGAGCTGAAAGTAGCAACCAAATTAGATAAAATTAGTAGCTACTATAAATAAATAAATAAAAGAGGAAAATGCCTAATTAAAATAGGGAGGGGGAGAGAGAAAGAGATAATTTGATATATGTACTTGAAGTTCTTTATTCTTTCTCATGCAATCATATGTCAATTATCTTAGTACCAATGTCTGAGTTGATATGCATGATATCATTGCCCAAAATATACCTTGGTTCGTCCATATGGGTTTACTGCAGAGAGAGGAAACTCCTCTGTGCATGGAACCACCTCCGGCCAACCATAAACAGTAGCTGATGATGAAAACACAAGCTGAAATGATTTGAAAATTGAAATTAGTCAAGATAATCAAATCACAACATGAAAAACAGCATCAGGAATGGATAACTGTCACATAAAGTCGCAACACCGAAGAATAATGTCAAAAACATATAATCAGACAACTGATTTATAGGACAAAGCAGTTAGAACTTACTGTCAGTTTAGTTTAATCAATGATCATATCTAGAGGGCTACAGGAATCATAGATCAAAATTTAAAAAAATATTAAGAAACCTGGTAATGAAGAATATAAAATTCAGAGATTCGTATGTATGCCTTAATTCAAAACAATTAATTGAAAATAAAACAGTAAGTATATATGGACAGAACAATGTTAAGGCCTGAACATTTTAAATATCAGAAAAGAACACAGTACCATACCAATAACCCACATTGTATAACAAAATTCCGAGAAAGTATAGAAAAATTCAATTCTTTTGACACTAGAAACAGATGTATATTATTTTATTTTTTCCTTTTTTCTTTTTGTTTTTTGTCCATAACCATACTGATTCAGAAACAATAAAGCAAAGGGAGAATAAACCAAAGCCTCGTTTGGGAACCTTCCCTTTTAGTCAAAAAGTCAAAAATTACTAAATTAGCCAAAAAGTCAATAACCCATTCTAAAAAGTCAAAGATTCTCTTTTCTCTCTGCTTTTTGCACATCTTTTCGTAAAAAGCCAAAAAATCATCCCAAACATACTAGTTTTTTTTAGCTCATATTTTAGCCAAATAGCCAAAAAGTTACTAAATTAGCCTGTTCCCAAACAAGACCTCAGTCTACATTCGCTGTGAAATGTGAAGGAACAATTCCAGCACTACAGTGGTTCTTCAGTTCTTCTTAGGCCAAAGAAGTACCAGGCTTGGTCAAAAAAAAAAAATCAAATCCTAAAAATCAGCCCCTAGTCTACCCTAAAGAGTTTAATAGTGTTACTAATTGCTCTGTAAAACCAAAGTGCCATTCTCTGCCTACAGTTCCAGCAAATGTAACGATGAATTGCCCTAGGACAGAAATACTTCCTAAATAACTAATTGATTTGTGCTAGTTGCCAACTGTGCTGCATCACATTGCAAATAAAGAGTTGGCAAACCAGAAACTAAAAATATGTGACGAGATGGGAACTTGCGCATATATGAACACAGAAGGATTTAAACAACACAGTCAAGGCCAAAAGCCATAAAAAAAGGCAAAGTTTCTGAGATTTTCTCCATGAAATTTAGTCTAATTTAAGTTTTACCACTGGATTAGAAGCTAAGAAATGTGAACTCAAATATGATAATAAAAACATGAGAAATACATTTTTGCATCCATGGGCAGCCATGACTTCCAATAGAGTGATTGTACCAATAAGGTTGTTGTCATAATACATCAAGGGTTTCTGCACACTTTCGCCCACTGCTTTTAATCCAGCAAAATGGATAACAGCATCAAACCTGCAGTGGAAACAGAATTAGGAGAAAGATGAAAAGTTGGTCATATAATTGAGCAGTGAGAACAACCTTCATTAAAAACATCAAGTTCAACTCTCTATTTAGTTAACAGACGTACATATAGTAGATTGCTTTCTGCTGTTACAAACACTTTGTACATAGAAGATTGTTTTTCTGATGTAAATAAATTACTCATGTCCCTGATATTAATATATTGGGCCTCACTATCTAAACTATAGATTGAATTAATGAGAAGTAATACCTCAATCCTGACAGTTTAAATCAAATAAAGCATGCAAAAAAGAAACTTGTTTCTGGCTACAGGTTCCAATGTGACAGATGAAAGATAAAACTACATGAATTCAAAGATATGAAGATGCTTAAGAATAAGAGTAATAAAGGTTGATAAAATTCTAATTGTGAGGCAAAAACAACAGAGATAATTTAGGCCTCGTTTGGAAACTCTTTATTTTAAGCCTAAAAGCCAAAAAGTCACTAAAAAGGCCAAAAAGCCAACAAATACCAAAAAGTCAAATATTCATTTCCATTCATTCTACTTTTTGCATATCATTTCATAAAAAACCAAAAAGTCCTCCCAAACATATTCAGTGTGTTTGGTTTCAGTTTTCTGAATTTAGTTTTCTGAAAATTGAGTTTTTTTGTTTTTTGTGTTTTTTTGTTTTTAGTGAATATTTTTAAAATTTTAAGCAATTTTTTTTTCTTTTTTAGATGCATCTTACTTAGATATATCTAAATAGTAAAATATTTGTGGAAAAAAATTTCAAAAAATTAGTAAATACAAAAAAATACGAAAAATGTATTGAATTTTTGTATTTATTTATTTATTTATTTTGTATTTTGGGTATTTAGTGAATTTTTTAAAGATTCTTTTCACAAATATTATAATTTTTAAGTGTATTTATGTTGGGTGTGTTTAAAAATTTAAAAAATTGCTTAAAATATTAAAAAAAAATTAGTGAAAACAAAAAAGTACAAAAAATGAAAAGATAAAATTTTTTGAAAAGTGAATTCTGAAAACTGAAAACAAACAGAGTGATTAGTGTTTTCATCTCATATTTTAGCCAAAAAATCAAAAAGTCACTAAAAAAAACCTGTTCCTAAACATGGCTCTGCACTGGTTATAGAAAGACAATTTCACCTTGCAGAGCTTTGAAGTGACAAAGTGCTAAACAGAAAAATATTAGAGAACATATGGTAAAACTTACTTTGTGGAAGCAAATATCTTCTCAAGTGCAGGCTTATCTCGGAGATCCATCTGCAGGATAAAGAAGATTAATAAAAAATTAGGTATATAAGCACTGAAGTAGCTTGTGTCCAGATAAACTCATAATTGGGACACAATAATTTGTTTTTTATTAACATTTGTCTGTGGAAACAATAAACACACATCCACACACATCATGTAATACATCATGTAATATGCATATGATAAACCAATCATATATCTGTTCAAAACACAAGTTCATGGAGAGCATTAGATCAACCAATAGCATCTACCATATACTGATAATCAATTGCAAATCCACACATAGTCAATCCAAAGCAAATGTATTGAGATCAAGCACATAACCAATTGAAAAACAAATAACCCGACTATGTTTGGATCTTGGATTTGACTAAGAATTTGTAGAAGAAAAGGAAAATAAAAGAGAAAAGTGATTAAAAATTAGCTTATATTTTTGTCAATTTTTCTTTCCTCCACAAATCCCTATTCAAAACCCAGATCCGAACCCAACCTAAAACTTAAAAAACAAGACAGAATTTAAACTACCCCGATTAGCCAATTCATCAAACACCTAATCATCAGGAAGATAAATTTAGGGCAGAACCTGCTGAAGACTAAAAAATTCTAAACATTTGTCCTGACTAGACAATTCATCAAACACCTAAACATCAAGAAAATAAATTTAGAGCACAGAACCTACTAAAGACTTAAAAAAGTCCAAACTTTTAACATCAAAACCTCACGCAGAGTATATATATAAACGAACCTTATGGAAGGTAAGATTTGGGAGAACTTAAAGCCCATAACCTACCAAGACTAAAAAAGTTCAAACTTTTAACATCAAAACTTCATACAGATAGTACACATATATAGGAACCTTGTGGAAAGGTAAGATTTGGGAAATTTAAAGCACAGAACCCACTGAAAACTAAAAAATTCCAAACTTTTAACATCAATTCCAAACTTTTAACATCAAAACCTCTCACAGACATATATACAAACACATAGTATACATATATACGAACCTTATGGAAAGTAAGATTTGGGCCATTCTTTCCAGCGAGTTCCTGAACCCGCTTGATTGCGACGGCGGAAGAGTTGTCAAGATTATCGATCACCACCGCCTTGTAGCCACCCAAAAGCAACTGAAGCACCGTGTGGGTTCCAATATACCCAGCACCACCAGTCACAAGTATGTTCTGCGCCATAACTACACAAACCCAATTCGCATATAGCTATACACCTCTGTGTCTATATATAGAGGGAGTAGTTGAAGACTTTAGAGACCTTGGATCTGATGACAATTGTGACTTTGATCAGACTTTAACAATCTGTAAAGTAACCCATAAACTTTATTGAATAAAAAAAAAAAATTGGGGAAAAGTTGTTCACGTGGGTTGGCTTAGTTTTTTGACTGGTCTGGAATTTGGTTCTCGGATGCTCCTCCTAGATGATGACGAAGAAGAAGAAAACCCAAGAGTCAGTTATGAAGCATAGTTGTGAATTGACTGGATTGCCCTTAATAGTCTTTGTCGTCTTATCTGTTTCTCTCTTTTTGGACGGCTACGGGATTCTGTTCTCTGCCCTAGATCTTTGTCGCTTCTCTCTTTGCTACTTTTTGGACTAATTATTTTGATCTTCCTTCATAATTTTGCAAATTATAATTGAGCTCATAATTATTATAATTGAGCTCATAATTATTGGAAAAGAAAAATGATTGGTCCATCAAAATAGCAGTCCGACTCTGTCCGAATGACGGAGTTGAAGATGACCTTTTCGGATGATTAGTATACTCTTGTCAGCTAGCATATCAACCGGCATTTGCTTGAATGACCGATCAAACGACATCCCAAATGATGTCAATCGGTATTCACAAATTTGAATAATTCGAACGAATCCAAATTTGGTGAATGTAGTAGCACTACTGTTACTTTTTGTGAGAGTTCGAAATGGATTTGTCCCACATCGGTCTGAGAGGTATCCCCAACCTATTTAATAAGCTAACTAACTCCTCCTAAGTAGCATGAAGCATTTTCTAAAAAAGAACAAAACCGTGAGGCTCCGGGCAAAGCGGACAATATTGTGCTAGTGGGGGGTTGACAGCTTCATTTGGCCCCGTTTGTAAGAACTTCCTCCGATGTGAGTCGCTTGGCATTCGGAGCCAGTCAACTGGGGACTTATGTAGGAGTCCAAAATGGGTTTCCTACATAAAAGCCCTCACATCGGAAGGGGTTCCCACTTATGGTGCCAAATGAAGTTGTCAACCCAACTGCTTTGGCCAGAGTCTTGCGATTTTGTTCTTCTTTAAAAAAGCCCTCATGCTAGTTAGGAGGGGTTAGCGATTTTGTTCTTCTTTAGAAAAAGTCTCATGCTAGTTAGGAGGAATTAATCAACTTATTAAGTGGGTTGTGGATACCTCTCAAACTGATATGGGACAAACCAATTATTAAGTGGGTTGTGGATACCTCTCAAACCGATATGGGACAAACCAATTTCGGGCGGGACAAACCAATTTTGGGCTCCCACATAAGTTTCCATTTGACTGGCTCCGAACGCTAAGGGACTCACATCGGAGGAAATTCCCACAAACGGGCACCCAATAAAGCTGCCAACCCTACCCCACCAGCACAATGGCCTCGTTTGAGAAGTGGCTATTTTAGTAGGCTATTTGGCTTTTTGGCTATTTTAGTAGGCTATTTTAGTTTTTGTGTTTGGAAAGATGAGATGGATTTTATTTGAGTTGTTGTATTAAAAAATGTATTGAAATGATGTTTGAAATTAAAATGACAAATTTGTCCCTAAAAAAATATTTTTTTAAATTGCTATGAAGGGGTAAAATCGTAAAATGTTCATTGATGGAACAAGTGACAAAGCTGACAGTGTAGGCTGTGCCTACACTGCCGGCTGTGCAGTCCTATATTTTTTTTTTTTTTTTTTTTTTTTTTTTTGAAAAAGCTTGCAAAAGTGGCTTTTTGGCTAAAAAATTTTTTTAGGTTACAATAGCCTCTGTGGGCACTTCCCAAACAGCGCCAATATTGTCCCACAAACGGGCACCTAATAAAGCTGCCAACCCAACCCCAGTAACACAATATTGTCCACTTTGGCCAAAGCCTTACAGTTTTGCTCTTCTTTAAAAAAGACTTCATGCTAGTTAGGAGGAGTTAGTCAACTTATTAAGTTGATTGTGGATACCTTTCAGATTGATGTGGGACAAACCCATTTCAGGCTCCCACACTTTTGTTGATTTTCATTTAGGATTCTCTCTCATCTAGATCTGGATTGGAGAAGTGACGTTGGGACTTGTAGAGCCCATCATGCGTCCCATTTTGATAATCTGAATAATTTATTGTTAAAACTTTCCGTGTATATCATTTACATAAAAAATTAAATTGATCTGATATTTGTAATATTTTATTTTATCGTATTTGTCTTAAAAAAATTAAATAGTATATTTTTAAAAACACACTTATTGTTTATTTTTTTAGAGACAAATATGATAAAATAAAAATATTACAATTATTAAATCGATCTAATTTTTTATATGAATGATGCGAAGAGGTTTAAAAAATAAGCAATTTAAATTATCAAAATGAAACTCGGGATAAGCCTACATAATGTCTCTCCGAAGAGAATCATGTCTCTTTTATCTAACTTCTCATTATTTATGTATTTGAATTACAAATTTGAGTTGGGATTTAGAATTCATAATGGAAACATAATCTTACTAATTGTCAACGAATTGAATGGGGTTGCCATTAGAATTTATTGTGAAATTGTAAAAGAATTGAATGGAGTTGCCATCAGAATTTATTGTGATTTTCTTATTTTAAAACCTTCAAGTTTTACAACTCTTTATAATTTATTTTATTTTGTTTACATTTAATTTATTTTTGCCTTGTTCTCTATTGTATAGATGATTATACATATAAATTCTATTTATCTAAAGTTGGTGACATTTACCAATATACATAAAGATTGGTGGACCAAAAATTGCCTCCTCTATACGTCTTTAGTTTTTTAATGATTTTCTTTTCTTTTCTTTTTTATAAATGAGTTTAAAAAAAAAAGAAATTAATTTTATAAATTTTTTTAATTTTTTGACTAAAATATATAAATGTACATTTCTTAATATTTTTTGGCTATTTTAGTAGGCTATTTTAGTTTTTGTGTTTGGGAAGATGAGATGGATTTTATTTGAGTTGTTGTATTAAAAAATGTGTTAAAATGATGTTTGAAATTAAAATGACAAATTTGTCTCTAAAAAAATATTTTTTTAAATTGCTATGAAGGGGTAAAATCGTAAAATGTTCATTGATGGAACATTTTTTCTAGCTGAGGAACATTTTTTCTAGCTGACAGTGTAGGCTGCCTACACTGCCGGCTGTGCAGTTTTTTTTTTTTTTTTTTTGAAAAAGCTTGCAAAAGTGGCTTTTTGGCTAAAAAAAATTTTTAGGCTATAATAGCCTCTGTGGGCACTTCCCAAACAGCGCCAATATTGTCCCACAAACGAGCACCTAATAAAGCTGCCAACCCAACCCCACTAACACAATATTGTCCACTCTGGCCAAAGCCTTACAGTTTTGCTCTTCTTCAAAAAAGACTTCATGCTAGTTAGGAGGAGTTAGTCAACTTATTAAGTTGATTGTGGATACCTTTCAGATTGATGTGGGACAAACCCATTTCAGGCTCCCACACTTTTGTTGATTTTCATTTAGGATTCTCTCTCATCTAGATCTGGATTGGAGAAGTGACGTTGGGACTTGTAGAGCCCATCATGCGTCCCATTTTGATAATCTGAATAATTTATTGTTAAAACTTTCCGTGTATATCATTTACATAAAAAATTAAATTGATCTGATATTTGTAATATTTTATTTTATCGTATTTGTCTTAAAAAAATTAAATAGTATATTTTTAAAAACACACTTATTGTTTATTTTTTTAGAGACAAATATGATAAAATAAAAATATTACAATTATTAAATCGATCTAATTTTTTATATGAATGATGCGAAGAGGTTTAAAAAATAAGCAATTTAAATTATTAAAAAGAAACTCGGGATAAGCCTACATAATGTCTCTCCGAAGAGAATCATGTCTCTTTTATCTAACTTCTCATTATTTATGTATTTGAATTACAAATTTGAGTTGGGATTTAGAATTCATAATGGAAATATAATCTTAGTAATTGTCAACGAATTGAATGGGGTTGCCATTAGAATTTATTGTGAAATTGTAAAAGAATTGAATGGAGTTGCCATCAGAATTTATTGTGATTTTCTTATTTTAAAACCTTCAAGTTTTACAACTCTTTATAATTTATTTTATTTTGTTTACATTTAATTTATTTTTGCCTTGTTCTCTATTGTATAGATGATTATACATATAAATTCTATTTATCTAAAGTTGGTGACATTTACCAATATACATAAAGATTGGTGGACCAAAAATTGCCTCCTCTATACGTCTTTAGTTTTTTAATGATTTTCTTTTCTTTTCTTTTTTATAAATGAGTTTAAAAAAAAAAGAAATTAATTTTATAAATTTTTTTAATTTTTTGACTAAAATATATAAATGTACATTTCTTAATATACTTTAATATCATATGTTATTAGCCTAATTTTAATTTTTAAATAATTGTAGGAATTTTGTAGGAATTTACTTTAGTTTCTTATGGTTTTACCACAAAAGTACATAGTAAAAGAATTATACAAAATATAAAAACAAAACCTTCATTGAGTTAATGTCACAAAATTTAATGTCTTTAAATTGGCAGTATGTGCAACACCTTTTTTTTTAAAATATTTTTTTCACTTGAACCTAGAGTTTGTCTTGATGCTCAAATTATTCTAGAAAAATCTTCAAAATATTAATCACAAAATTGAGCTCAACCAACCCCCACCAACCCATGCCCAAACAGCACGCCACTTATGCCAACCCCTACCATCTCTACCATGAATGCTAGGATTATTTTTTATCATTTTATTATGTCTATTAACTTTATTGACATTTTAAGCTCATTAAGGGATACTAGTGTAATTTTTCAATAATATTAGGGCTTAATTGTAAATTGAGCAAAGTATAATTTATCCTCATTATTTTTGTAATAAATTACACCGACCTTACCTAAAAGTGAGCTTATTATAACAAACTCCATTATTATATCAAAATTACCCATGTTCTCTTAAAATTTAAAATCATGGTACACATTGTCCCAAACCATTAACAAATGGTTTGAATCCAAAAATAAAAAAATAAAAAACCATTAACAAATTGTTAACAAAGTAACATTTTTTATTCTTATTTTATTTTTTATGAGAGTTTCTAGTTACACTATCATCTTATTAGATCTACAATTTTTTAAATGTGGTCTTTCTATAAACCAACCGGTTAAAATTGTCAAATAATTTATTTTAAAATTTTAAAATATATATAAAATTTATACAAAAAACTTAACAA